AGACACTTACACCTAATTTGCACAACACCACACAACGTTCCCAGCACGTTTCGCTTAAAAAATAAGTTCAACATCACTTTCTACACAGGTAGAAAAGCAAACCAAAAGTCTTATATTTATCCAACTCATCCTTATATTCCACAATTCTTCATAATTAGTAAATGAAAAGAAATATTATTAACAAGATTTAATGTAGTATTGGAAGTGTGGTCTATATATTTATATAGGCACCTTTTAATACAAAGGGCATGCAAGCCTCAGAACAATTTTCATACATTTTAAAACACGATCTACATTATTCAAACTCTAACAATGTCATATGGGCAACAACTATTTATTTAAAACTCACATAAATGCTAGTAAACTAAAAACTGTTGAACTCTTAATGATTTTTCCAACACTTCTGCAAAAAACTAATTTCAGAGATGACTGAAATATTTTTGTGTTTATAGTTTTGATCTTGATTTTCAAAGTTAGGAATGACAGGTATAAATTAATCCTGTTACACAGGAAGAAATACAACCCTTTCAGATACACCCCGTAGTACTCCTGGTCATTTATTTTAACCACTTGAGACAGGAAAGCATTGTTTTCTCACTGGTAACTGATACTCCTCTGATCCCATAAGAAATTGGTATCAAGATATGACATAAATATACTAGAATATGGTCTGCTGTTATTATCACTCAACATTTCTGAAAATAAGGGGGGGGGAAACAGATAGATGTGATACAATGCAAAGCCAAACTAAATTTTTAAAGGACTACTTTTTAAAAATGTACGCTGACTAATCTAAAAATCCTCAAAACTTCCACCCTGACAGTTTCAGCAAACTAAGTTCCTACTGCCCCAGAAGTTATTGCTGCTGCATTCAGGAGGAGGCTTGTTTTCCATTTCACTAAGAGAATGATTGGTCTCTACCTCCATATATTTATAAACATAAATCTGAATGTGTGTGCATATATTTATAAACAAATATATGCACACACATTCAGATTTGGTGACAATAATGAGAATAATTTATCAAGTTTATGCATTATTTCCGCATAAGTGCAATGCTTTACTGTTTATTTTTTAAAAGAAAAGAGTAACATGTATTTTATGGCATTGCTACCCTTTTCACTAGAATTAAAATACCTTTCATAAAAAACTACTGGAAATGAAAAATGTTGGCTACCTATTTAAGCTCTTTTTAGGGGAGAAAATAAGCTTTGACAGAACACAGAAAGTGAAACAGTACTAATGACAAAAGTGAAAATTCAATTCAGGGGTCCACATCTAGACAGAAAGAGCGTTCACTTTGCTCCGTTGGTTACAAGTCAGAATTCACTCCCATGATATGCTTGTGATTTTAACCCTGACGTTTACCTGCTGAGGTCTCTGTCTTGCAGTGGGATGTAAGCTCCCACAGCTGCAGAGAGCCTCACTAAGGTTACAAGGACCCTGGGCAGGACTTGCAAGATCTTACAAGACTTAACCTTTGATTTCACACTTAGCACAAGAAGAGATATGGAAACGTGTGAAACGTGTGAAAGGGAAATGGGCATACCACTGAAGGAGGATGACATCTCCTGCATAGTCTGTATTATCAGGGACGTGAAAATTGACAAGCACAGTTAAGTCATGGGGAGAGAGAACCAGGAAACATCCTAAACGGCTGCAGTGAAACCAAGGGAGCTCAGGAGGAAGCTGTGAGAGTTGGTAAGGTTCTCACTATGACCAGAGAAGAGAGATATCAATATACTGTACTGAAAGGAAAGGCTTTATTAGAAAACAGTCAATTAGTGAAGCTAGTAGAAATTTAGAAGGGAGGCTTTACAGAAGAGGTTTTTGCAACCAGAAGCAGGGGGAGCATTTATAAAGGGGTTCTTTTTTCTTGTCCTTTGCTCCTGGTGCTTTCGGGAGTGACATTTCCTGTAACGAGAAGCGCCTTTTAAAAAAGCAGCTAACGGGGCCGTAATTACACGGACCTCGCAGGCAGCGGGACTTCAAGGAAAACGCCACACGGTGAGCGCCGGAGCTCAGCCACCTCTACCGGGGGAGACCCTGCAGCCGTCCGCCCGGCGGGCCCTGGACGCCGAACCGCGCTCCGCCGCGGGGCCTGACCCGCTCGGGCCCCGCCACCCACCTCTGCCGAGCTCGGGCACCGTTAGGTCCCGCTCCCGGCTGTCCATCTTCTTCAGGTACTGGTAGACCAAGTTCTCCTTCTCCTGGGGAGTATCAGCGTCGAGCAGGGCATACTCCAGCTGGGTCTGGGCGGGCAGGAGCCCCGCCAGGCCCCCTGCCGCCATGACGCCTCCTGGGCGAGCCCGCGGCGAGGACGGGCTGCTATTTACCGGCCTGCCGTTTCACCGCCCGCACATTCAGCACCTCCCGCAACGCTGGGGAGGAAAATTGTAATTAAAAAAAAAAACCCCACACCAAAACTTAAACACAAACACGCAATAACTCGTCTGTCTTAAAGGGGGACCTTCTCATTCATTTTGTGCTTTTACATAGCTTTGATATTCACAGAGGCATATTCGTGAGGAGAATCCCCAGTGGTGATTCCAGCTCAGCAGATTCAACACAGCCCGCTTTTCCCGCCCAGTTACTTTTTTATTTGTAAGTGGAATAGATGTGAAAATCGGGCAGTACCGGGCCGAAGTCCAAACAAGGCACCAATAACTTAAACGCTGGGATTTTTTTGGGAGGCATGCTGTGAGAAAAGCGGAAAGTTGAGCGACGGCCGTGGTGACGAAGCTGCGGAAGCGAATGCGTTGCCGCGGCGGCGAACGGCTGAGGAGCGGCGCGCGCTCGAGGAGGCGCCCGCCCGCGACCCTCGGTAGC